GCACCACAGGGGGCACCTCTGACTTCTCCTCTGGAACGGGCCGGCGGGCTCGTCGTGAGACACAGTTCCCGTCCTCCTGTGCTAACCTCCACGTGACGCAAGGAAAGCGGTCACTCCGGCGAGTGCGCCCGGCCTCCCCTGCCCACGCAGCCGTCCTGCCCGTGTGTGTCTGAGGCGCCCGCGGGACGGCGCCGGCTTCGGCACGGTCAGAAGCAAAAGAGCAGAATGCGACGTGCTCCAAGGAGGTGGGCGGTGCACGTGAGAACAGACAACGAACCCCCGGCGCCCCGACAAATAAACCCCCTGGACCAAGTCGATCTCTGCCGTCCGTCCACTCGCCCGCCCCCTGCGGGTGGGGCGGCCCAGACGGCCTCGCGTGTGTTTACGTGTGAAATAATCACTTCACCTCCACTACTAGCTTAGCACAGCACACCACCGCAGGCCTGATAATTCCGAATTTTTTTTTAAATGCACGAAGTTAAAAGGATCAGCTTTGAATTCATGGAAATGGCCTCCAGTGCGGGCTGTTGGAAGCATCCGGCGTGCACTTACTTACCAAGAAGTCAGGAAGCAGGGGAGACGATCAGTCGTGGGATTCCTCGTACTCACGGTATTTTCAAATGATGCCCTAGTGGTTTTTAGAGAAATGCTCAAGACCCGTTAATTAGTCCAGAACTTAGAATTATCCTTCAAATAGTATCACTACTCTCAAAGACAAGGTGTGTTTTTTTTTTTTAAGTGAAACAATTTCCTCGAGATACTGTAGTATGTTTGTAAACCTGTTCAGTTCTCAAAATAATAAGCAGGCGGACCGTGTCACCTTCGGGGAAGTGACTGACAGCACCCCAGAACTTCGAGAGGGAGCCCAGGCGCCGTGCGCCCGTCGGCAGGGGAAGGCGCCGGTCCCTCCAGCGGGCGCACGGCGCTTCCGAGAGGCGCCGGCGAGGGTCCCAGCTGCCGGCTCTGAGCGGATTATGAAAGATGGTACTTGTGAGTCCCAGGGGCGTGACGATGATTAAGTGACGCTTTCGAATGTGAGGCTTCTTTCTCCCCGGGCCGGCAGGGAAGTTCTCGCGTGGGAGGGAGAGTCGGACGCAAGTGAGCAATTATTTTTTATTTACAGGGAGACGTGGGAAGGGATGTAATAATTAGAAATATTCGTCACTTTAAAGATGGAGTGACTGATGGGTTCTGGACAAAACGGAGAGCCACAAAATGATTGCTTTTGTTAATTCCACCACAGAACTGTAACTCAGTTCGACTACAGTAAAATAAATTAAATGATAAAAACTTAATTTAAAAAAACCTCCCCTCGAGTAGAGATCAATAAACACGTGAACTTGACTATTTCACCTGGTCCGAGGATGCCCGGGTGTCTGCCTGCTGAGACGGGAACCGGCCGTTTCCCGGGGAAGGAGCCAGGTGGCTCCCGCCGGCTGCAAACTGGGACGAGACAGGTTCACAGCCGGGCTCCGCTCCGTTTTCTCGGTCAGCGGAGAACCGAAGGTGTCGGTCACAGGGAGACGAGAACGTGTCCCAAACCACCGAGACACTGCACGAGGACCCTGTCCGGGGGGAGAAGTGGTTTGACATCTTCAGAGGAAACATGCCAGGTGGACGGAGGTGGGGGAGCGGCCGTGGGCAAAGGGGGCTGTTCAGACCGTGTGTTCTCAGGCCAGCTCCCACGGCGGGGGGCAGGGGGGGCCTCGCTTGGGCCTCCGAGTGTGTCCCCGCGGCTGCCGTGACCCAGGGCTACCTCAGAGCGCTGGAATGAGAACTCATCTCGTGACAGTGCTTCTCTGTCTGTCTGGCTGTTTCTGTATCTGTCCGCGCGTCCAGCTGGCCAGACATAAATTCACATGTGTGCATGCCTGAGCAACCCCCCCCAGCCACGGAGGTTGCCAACGCAGGGATCACCATGGAAACAGGCAGGAATGCTAACACGCTGGGTGCGGCTGCTGCACGGCGACGAGCTTCCACCAGTGCTGCCTGAGTCCCACCAGCACGGACCCGGGGACGAGAGGCAGAGCTCTCACTGGGGCCGGCGGCCAGCCAGCGCTAAGGGGCTCTGGTCTCTCTGCCCGCACCGCCCGCCCCCACAGCGCACGGACCGCCTGCACCACCACCTCCTCCGTGGGTGCTCCGGAACGCTCGGAGGCCCGCCGGCAGGGGCTGGGGGCGCCGGGGCTCACACCGCCTGTCTCCTGCTGGCCATCCTTTGGGTGGAGACGGCCGTGAGATGCCACAGCGATGGGGCGCCCGCCGTCCGTGGCAGCGGAGAGCGTCCCGGGGCCCAGCCCGGGCAGCCCCGGGCTTCCCAGCTGCTTTCACTGCCCGTGAAAAACCGGCAGCCCGGTCTCCGTGCTACCACCGGCTCACGCAGCGTTACTCAGTTTGTAGGGCATCTTCGGGAAGCGAGGGTTTTAAAGAGCACACGTTTGATTTAAAAATTAAGTACTGGCTTTTGGTTTTTCAGGAAAGTTAATGGGATATGTAATTTGTTCGAAATATTCAACACCGTTTATCCTCCCCCAGAGAAGCCACAGCGATGGCGTTGACTCCGCACGGCCCGGGGGTGCGAGTCCCTGGGAGGCTCCGGACCGCCTTCTGGAGCAGCGGCCGGAGGTGCCGGGAGAGGAGGGGCCGGAGCAGTGGCCCGCAGCTGCGGCCGCATGGAGGGTCTGCACGAGTCCCTCTGTGACCTGCAGCTTCCCACGCGGGGAAAACGGGCGTCGTCCTGAAGTGATACAGAATTTTCTGCTCTTTAAGGGTTTTTTCGTGGATGTAAAATCAACCCAAAGGCTGTTGGCTGAGGAACAAAAGAAATTGGCAAAGTTAAATGACACCGGTTTTGTATTGGTGTCCCTCGCTGGTGTGACTATAAATAGCATATTTTCCACAGTTGGTCGGTATCCCTGTTCACTTCTTGTGTCAAACCCTTCTCGTGTTCACCCGACAGAAAGTGGGAATTGTAACATTTTTGTGAACACTGTGAATTTAAATAAAATGTTAACATTTGATGTCGAATCATTTGCCTAGGTGGGGATAACAAAAGTGTCAATTCTGGTGGAACAGTATTATGGTGAAAACAATGTTTTTATGAAATTATGAAACACTGGAAGCATCAATGTGTCTAAAACCGATGGCTGTTTGTGCTTAACGTACAGTAGCACCCAGGGAGGGTGCAGTGATTCTACCACGGGAAGAGCAGTTCCACGTCACCAATTCGATAATGTCATCTTGCAGAGAATAACTGAACCATACATTTTGAGAGAACTAACACTGGGTGGGAAAGAGACTTGCAGCGTAAGAGTAAAACTGTCCGTCTTCGCTGCCCCTCCCCAGTGAGATGCAGTGGACGGAGGAGGAAGCCGTCCTTGAGGAACCGGCCCGAGTGTGCTGTGATGAGGTCAAACATCTTCCAAATGGCTCTTCCACGTTTTTATTATACTTCGTTACAAAATATTGACAGGTATTTAATCCAGCCCCTTAATTAAACTTTGGCCGAGACACTTCGGCTTTGGAGGGGAGAGTGAATTCTATTATTGAACAGCTCCACCAGCTCACCCCTTTCAAAAAGAAACTTCTTGCCAAACGGAGACAGAAAAACATCCCCATTAAGCAAAGCAACAACTAAACAAATTAAATGCCAAAACTCAAAGAGTGTCCAATATTTAATTTTTAAATTAAAGCTTGTGTTTGGAATATCTCAATTTATAATAAGTATCTTCTAATGAACCTTCTATTACTGATTGGAGTTATTTATATTCTGAATGCAGAAGGAATAAAATTGAGAAAGCCTATAATTTTCTGTCATCCGAATTTGAAAAAACTTACTAAAGAATCATTAAAAGAGTACCTTAATTTCAGAGCTTTTGTTATATTTTGTTGTACTTGTGAGGGTTATTCTGCCCCTGAATGAAAAATACGCACATACAGTAATTGAGAAAATGCAGGGGCTGGAAACTGTCAATGTCTCAATTTAAGACAACAGAAGTGAAAATAGCTTCCACTGAGCAGAATTTCTTTAGCTCTCCCACTACCTCAGTATCTGTAGGCCCTTTCGAAGTAATCACGTGAAAAATTCAAGGTAATGGGAGATTGTTCTAAATCTTCAGAGTGACATGTGGGGCACATGTGCCTGAGAAACTGCACCGTGGACACGTCCCAAGCACGTGTGTGTAATGCTTACACGTACTCAGTGTGTGAATTGTTACTGTAAAGAGGAATTTTAAATAATCTGCTTTAGTGTACCCAGATACGTTATTTACATGTTTCAGAAATAATTTCAGTTTTTACAAAGGTTTGAACAGAACGATTCTATAGGTCTGTCAATAAGATCAAACCAAGTCGCCCATAAATATCTAGTTCGGTTGTGGGTTGTGTGTTTTCAGCCTTTTCGTCATTTCCTCGACCCCCGGGCCCTGTGCAGGGGAGGGGGCCCGGGGGCGCACACCTCCACGCTCGGCCCCGTGCCGCCGGCCTCGGAAGGGAAGCACCTGGGGCACTGTTTTCAATCAGGGCCCAGCGAGGGGCGCGGGGCCGGCTGCTTCCGCTCTAACCGTGAGAATGGCTTGGACACGCTGCAAAGCCCTGGTTTTCGACATCTGTCGGAGCTAAAGCCGCGTAGAAAACCGCACGGCCTCAACTCGGGAGGTCGATGAGTCCTCTCTCGGCAAGAAAACAGCACTTTCATGGAGCAATGGGAAGGAAGGCAGACCCGCTGCATTTAGGGGGTCAGGAAACCACGGGGACCTTCCAGAACTGTTGCCAGCCCTGAGTCAACAGCTCAGAAGCCCCCAGTGCCCAGCGACCCTCACGGAACTGCTCCCCAGAGGCCGGGGCGCAGCAGAGGGCAGTCCCCAGAGCGCGAGAAGACTTCCCGTCACCCCCAGATCTGACGCCCGCTCCGGAGAGCAGAAGCAGGGCCCAGGGGCCCCGGAAAGGTGGCGACTGGACTCAGAAATAAAGAACCTGTGGAAGGTAGATGCTTTTTTTTGTTTTGGTAGGAGCAGTCAGGGCGTGCATGTTCTGATTCCGCAGAGACGTTGGACAGGAATCGCGAGAACGCCACTCATCCTGCTCTGGCCTGCTCTCCAGACGGGGCGGCCGGTGAGGACCGCCCTGCCTGACGGTGGGAGGCGCACCCCTGCCCCTCCTCCACGGCGTCCGAGGCCAGTGCCAATCGCACCCCAACCGGCGCCGCCACAAAGAGGACCCCGAGCTCGCGTTCAGGCCGGGCGGACCCAGGGCCCCGCACGGCCAGACAGACGGAACACGTTGCTCCGCCCGCGGCCCCCCCAGCGTGCACCCGCCGCACCAGGCCCCCCGCACAGTGCGAGCGCGGGAGAGACACGTGGGGCCGGAGGGAGCTCCCGTGGTCGGGAGGAGAAGGCACTTTAAAGTTCCCACGACGCAGTGTGAGAAGATGAGGTTCGCCAGCAGGGTGAAACTGTGAGAAACAACCCACGAGAAGGCAGAGCAGTGCAGACCGCCCGGAGCAGACGCGGAGGAGGGACGGCGTCCCCAGCACGACCCCGGCACAGGCGGCGACCGCAGGAACGGCGTCGAGAGCCTGCGACCTGCCAGGCAGCGCCGCTGTGACACGGACACCCTCGGGGGCCCGACGGAGGAGAGAGTGGGTGAGGCAGAAGCGGTCCTTGAAAAAACAAGGGTGACCACTTTTTTAAATACTGATGAGACACGTTAACCCAGTGATCCAGGAACATTAATGAAACCCAATCAAATACAAAAACATTTAAAAGATGAAATTTTAAAAATGTACATATAGGCCCATAATATTCAAACTGCAGGAAAACAAAGAAAAATGAATCATTTGAAAACCAAAGTAAAAAATGATACAAAAGAACACTGTCTTCACACTGGAAAAAAGGAAAGCAGGAAGACGATAGCTTCACAAACTAAACCCTAAAAGGCCAAAAACAAGGAAACTCACAAACCAGAGCTGAACATCCAGCAAAACTGCCCTTCAACAAACGATTTCTTTTTTTCAAGGAAAAGAAAGCTGGGAGATCCTGGGACCAGCAGACCTGCCTGCCTTCTCAGAAACGATAGTGGAAGCTCTGCCCCTCACGGCGGAATCCCACCGACTCCACAGGAAGCGCCCGAGAATGGTAGATGACAAATTATTCTTCTGTCCCCCCTCTCTCAGCTTCTTCCAAAGTCACAAGACTCCTTGAAACAAAAACTTACATTTTGTGTGACGTGGTACAGTTACAAGTCCTGGTAACTCCTGAGAAGTAAAAGCTGCACACTGTGACCTCTGCCTCTGTCAGGCCCCTGCCAGAGGTCACAGGAAAGGTTCCTTTTCTGTCGGAAAAGAGAAAGACGTGCAGACGGGAAGGAGAAGGAGGAGAAGCCCTGGTGTGTGCGGATGACATACAATTTCATGAATTAAAATCGGGGGTAGTTTGCACACCCAGACACCAGGGAGGCGTGCACACACACACACACACGCACACACACAGGAGGCTCCGGTGGGGGCCCGGCGAGAAGGTGGCCCTGTGTGGGCCAGAGAGAGAGAGACCCAGCCTGCTGACACCTTGACCTTGGCCTCCTGGCCTCCAGAGCCGGGAGAACCGTACATTCCTGTTGTTTAAGCCCCTCATCGGGGGTGCTTTGTTCGGGCAGGCCTGGCAGACTCCTGCCCCGGAGACGTGGGAGCCCCTGGGCCTGCCACTTGGGTGTGGCGTGGGACAGCCCCGTGGGGAGCTGCTGGCGAGGGTTTTTGAGGCACGAACCCAGCCCGTGTCCCGGCAACGCCACGCCCAGGACACGCACCTGCCCAGGCAGGAGCGCGCATGTGCAGAGGCCGGCGGGGTGGCGGGGAGCCTGCGTGAGCGCCGGGCCGAGCACCGCGGCCTGGGAGGTCGGGCGGCCTGGGAGGTCGGGCGCACGGAGGGGGAGGGCGCAGCTGAGCCTCGGAGGGGACCGGCTCCGAGCAGAGGGCGCGAGCGTGCGGACACGTCCGGGGGCCGCGGCTCCGCCTCCCGGCAGGTGGGGTGCAGACAGTCCGACACCCCTGAAGGCCTGCCGTCCCTCCGCTCCACCCGTGGGAGCCGCAGGGCCCAGCTGCTGGTGGGGGCGGTGTGGGTGCCCGACCTCGGTGGGGGGCACTGTCAGGACTTCCTGTACAACTGGCCCCCACGGGCTGCCAGGAAGCCCAGGGCAACTTAAAATCTGCCCCGCGGACCTCACACGGGGGATCACGGGGGCCGTGCACCCCCTCCCCCCCGCCCCAGTGTGCCTGGGACTCCCAAGTCTCTGTGCCGGTGAGAAGTAACACGGGGGCGAACCCTTCCTCCCGAGCCTCCTCGCCCCCAGCTCAGAGGCGGCGGCCTGGCTCTCAGACCCGCGTCCTGACGGCGCTGCAGAGACCCCCCCCGTGGGGCCCGGAGCAGCTGTCTCGCTCCTGCCTTTATTCCGCCATATTGATCCCGGCCGGTCTCCCTGGACACCGGGCGGCCCCAGACGGTGCTCAGGGCAGAGCAGCGGGAGCCCGGGGTCGCGGCCGTGAGCGCGCGTGCAGTCTGGGCATCTCCGGCCCCGGGCGGCGGCCAGGATCGATGCAGCCGCAGCGGGGGCCTTTGTTCCGAGCGCGCCGCGTTCGAGCGAGAGGAACAGCCAGGGCCGCTCGGGGAGGAGAACGCGGCGCCGAGCGGGCGAGCGGCGGAGCGGAGGGCCACGTGCGAGGCGCGGGCCCGGCTGCTGCTGATTGCCGCCCCCTCCCCCACCCCCACCCTTCTGCACCCCTCCCGGCCTCGCCACCCTGGCCGGGGCTCTCTGCGCCGTGCAGAAGCCTGCGCAGGGCCGATGCATCGTTTCTCATCCGTGACCAGAGCAGGGGACGCGGGTGGCTTTGCAGCGTCTACAGTGGGCCACCAGCGCTGGCCCGGGGCTCTGCCCGAGGTGCCCCGGGCTGCCGAGCGGCAGGCGCAGCGCGCCCCAGAGCGCGGCGCGGGGCCTCCGAGCGCAGAGAGACGCGCCGCCTCGCGGGGGGTGCGCGCGCGCGCGCGTGTGCGCTCGTGTGCGTGCGGGATCGGCTTCCGCACATCTGTCTTCACACAGTTGGACTCCTTCGCAAAAGTCACCCTAAGTACCTTAACATATGTAGAGCCAAATTAAAATTACTTTATCAATCTTGCATTTTCAGCTTCCCCATCTTTGGGGTTATTTTCCATCCATGTGTTTCATTATTTCGGAGAAGCCGTCTCGTCTCCCTAAGTGAGAGAATTAAGCTGGCGGAGGCCAGGCTGTGTCGGGGCGGGGGCGGGGGTGGGGCGAGGGGGGGGAAGCTGCGGTTTCAGCCGCCGTTCGGCCTTTGTCCGCGTGCGAAGCTGACGGCTTCGGATCATTTTAATAGCCAAGCGTTTTTCTTTCCTTTGTCACACCATAGATTTTCCCTGAGTTGTTCGCGTCCCACAAATGTCCTGTGAAGCGAAGTGGGATTTTGGGATCTGAAGGGGCCGTCTCGGTTGGATAAAAAAGATCATTCTCTTCCAGACACAACCGCCGCCCCTTCAGTCCAGTCGCAGCGCGGCGGACAAGCGAATTCCTGGCTGTCCGGCCGACACACAGGGAGCACCCAGGTTAGAGCGAATGCCCAGACAGACAAGGGTGCGAGCCCGCTCGTTCCTGCAGCATTTGTTTTACTGTTCACGCACCTTCCCCGTGATCGTGTTTCTTCTGTCATTTTTCTCAAATCTGACGCAGGCCAGAGGTCGCCTGAGTTCCTCGCTCCTTTTCAGCACGCGGGAACCCACTGGGGTGCCGGTTAAAACGTAAACAGACCAGGTGTCCGTCAGTCCACAGACCTGCGAGGCCGAGACCAGCGTCCCGCACGGGCGGTCCCCTCCACCCGACGCTCGAGTCCCCGTGTCCCCGGGGCCGGAGCTGAGACGCTCGAACACACGCCGTGCTAACTGGCCGGGCACGCTAACCCCTCCCAGGGCCGGAGTGGTGAAGTCGACAGGAGACGAGAAGCCTTCAGGGGGAAACACTCTCCTTCCGGAGACGGGTGTTCGAAGTGGGCAGCAAGGGACTTTCAGGACGGTTCTCAGCGTGGACCGGCCGAGTCGGAGGAGGGGCCCCGACCTGGTGTCTCCGTTCTGCCCCAGCCGTCCAGACGCAGGGACACGCAGGCCGTGTCCCGTGTCACGGGGGTCAGCGCCGATGTTCCCCGGGCGCATTCTGGTGCAAGCAGTGCCACGCAGGCTCCCGTTCCTGGTGACCTGTGGCCTGTGCGAGGGTTGGTCTGGGGCACGCGGCCGGAAGTGGGGCGGGGGCTGCCTGACCCCCACCCCCGGGGTCGCCAGGGGGCCGCCCCAACCGCGGGCTCACCCAGAGACCGGCGTTCCCAGGGATCCATCCTCACCAACAAGTAGTGTCGTCAGACTCCCTAACTTTTGCCAATCTGGTGGGTGCAAATGGCATCTCATTATTGTTTTAATTTGCATTTCTTGGATTACTAATGAGGTTAAGCATCTGTTCATGTGTTTATTTGCCATATTTTTTCCTCTGCTGTGAACCTATTAGGTTGTTTGCCTTTTTATTACTGATCTGGAGAAGGCTTTTTTTTTTTTTTACATATATGAATTTCGATGATTCATTTTTTGTTAGTTAAATGCGTTGCAAGTCTGTACCCTCGTTTACATTTCGTCTCCACTGTTTTCCTCGTGTACGCTGGGACACAGAAGTGTGTCATTTACGCCGCTGAGTTTCTCGCTCTGTCTTCTGTCTTTTTATTCTTCCCAGGTCGGCATGTCCTGCGTCCAGGTGAGTGAGACCTCCCTGCCCTAAGCGTGTTAAGTTACTCTGCTGACTTTTCGTGCGAGAGCCTCGGGTTTGCTGCCTCGTACCGGTGTTCCCCGCACACTGGAGTCCATCCGAGGCTGCGGCTGGGGTGCCCTGGGGTAAAACCCGCCCCACCACCAGTCCCGCCACCCTGGCTATTAAACAGCCCACGTCTGCTCACTCCCCTGTGACGCCACCTCCGCCTGGCTCCCAGTGCGCGTCCCAGACAGTTACGGGTTCTCCGCACAGGCGTGCCCGGGGGGCCTCTGTCCGGGACGGGTGAGTCTCGAGTGAGGAGGAGCAAGGTGCGGCGCCGGTGCAG